TATATATATATATTGCTTATCCTTATAGTCTTTCCTCTGTCTTGGTAATTATTGTTCAAAACAATCCAGACTTCTGCTCAGTCTTATAAATATTGCAATAACCTTTGTGCTAAAAGTACATTTGGAATTGGAATATTGATCTGATCTGAGTAATGAAGACAAGTGTTTGCTGAGTAAGATACTTAACAGGAAAAACCACCACAAATGGTATCTGATTTAACAAATGCTGACTTTCCAGAAACTAGAGAAAAATCGTCAAAGACAGATAGTTCATTGGGCCCCATAACACAAAATAGGTATAATGCCATGGGACAGTTGGAAAAATCTAATTTTAAATAACACTTGTCATAAAACTTTGTCAGACCTGCTGAAACAAACCCCCTTTCTCAATATAAGTAAAGCAGAAATCTCTAGTAGTTAGCCTCCTTAGATATCCCTCTACTGAGGCAAACATTAACCTGGCTTTAGCACCTAAAATACTGACAAACAGGAATTACAAAAAAATCATGCTAGGTGGTAGTCTACCTCTGAGCCACTTCCTCAGCCCTCTAGTCTTCTTTAACACACACACACACACACACACACACACACATACCAAACTAGATGCAATTTCTATTGTATTTATCAATTTCTATTCTATACCAATTGCTATTACATAGCCACATGAATATATGATCCCAGTTTTTTGGAAATAAAAGCTAAACTTTTTTTTAACCCAAAAGATAGGAACACTTCCATTAGTTTCTGAAGTTTCAGAATGTGATATCATGTACACAGAAAATAAGCAAAAACGTAATATTGTAAAGAACAAGCTTAAAAAAAAAAAAGAAAAAGAAAAAGCTTAAGCTGAGTTTAGCCAAAACATACACTAAACTACAAGACATATCAACAGAACAACAGATATACTTAGGAAGAGAAGTACTATGACTGCATCTTTTGTTTCAAGATAAAAAATGCTTCTGGCAAGGAAAAAAAAAAGATACTTCGGGGGGTGGTGTATCAAATAAAAAATGGTAGCTCAAACTACACCAGTAACTGTAATTAATAGAAGAACACAAAATGTGATTCAACAAAAGCTCTCATCCTGAGCCATATTACATATTGAATATTGCGCTGGAGACAGAAGCAGATTTCCTGTCCTAAAAGATAATGTGGATGCCTATGTGTGAGGAACTTAGGGAAGTGGAATCAAGAATGTTTGGAAGCCAACGTTTCCACCATAGCTTCTTCAAACTGGAAAATAAGACTATTACAGAAGAAAGACAAATGTCTCTATGCTCAAATTTGCTATGAATAAATAAAAGATTTTAACATCACAGAAATACAGACTACAATGTTATCACTGAGATAAAACATAAAACAACAGCTTTGCAGAAGAGGAAAAAATTGTACTTAATATATATAAATCCCATAGAAAACACCAACCTCAGAAATTTTAAAATAAGAGAATAAAGATAAAATATTTCAGAATCAAAGAGCAAAGGAATATGCTGTTTGCTGTTACAGTTTGTTTTTTGTTTTGTTTTTTTGCAAGGAAAGCAGCATAATATAGGGCATGTTTTATATTTTATGATGAATCACCCAAAGAACTATATATAACAAGTGTAGGAAACCATCTACATACTAAACACTAAAGAATATAGTTGAGGGCCTAGAGCTCATAACAGTATCTCCCACCTGTCTAACTGGAGGCCTAGAGCCCACAATGAAGTCTCATGCAGGCCCACTTTATGGATCTGTGCTACAATGGCCCCAAGGTCAGTGGTGGAAGTAAGGAAATCTACGCCAGCAGGATGAAGGATCTGTCTGTGCTAGCAGTCTGAGGGATCTGAAATACAGCCAGGAAGCAATGCTCAAGGTAAGCACCAGAGCTCACCCAAAAATACCACAGCCGGGCTGGAGAGATGGCTCAGTGGAATAAACACTTCCCTAGCAAGCGCAAGGGTATATCCGAGTTCAATCCCCAGGTCCACAAAA